TGAACAGAATATTTATTAGCATATGACATCTAATGGCAGGAAGTTGGAACTACATGATCAGATATTTATTTATTTAGTCATTTATCAGATGCTTTTATCCAAAGCGACTTACAAATGAGGACAACAGAAGCAATCAATTGTAGTATTAAAACAACTAAAAACACTGAAACAGAAACAGAAGCGAAATGAGTAATAGGACAGAGGAGAAATAAAAAGCGATACTTTGATCAGATATGACAGCAGAAATGTTATTAGACTGTTATTTTGGCCATAGTTTCTGCTTGACATTTTATCCATAAAAAGGTAAATTCAAAGATGTACTAAAAAAAACTCGAACTAAAACTGAAAAAAAATAAATAAATAATAAAACCTATATAGACATAAAAAAATCAAAATGAGTAAAACTATAATAGTATCTCAATAATGCTAAAACAACACTGGTCACTTAGTCACATCTAAAATTGTCTTCGTACTTCATTATGAAATGATGATTTACAATTTTATACTTATTCAAATTTCTATCTTCATCGATCTAAATTTGCTGTATCTCGTGATGGAGAATCTGTCATTCCCAGAGCTGCAATTGGAGAACATGTAAACAAAAACAGAGCAGAACGTCAACAGAAAAGTTTTTTTGCTGATTCGTCTGGTACTCTTCCTTCTGTCAACATGAAATGCACATCCTTCATGTCAGAAGTTTTAAAAACAATACATAGAAAAGTAGGTCTGATGCATCTGCATTTAACCCTTAACCTTGTTCTACACTATACTATATGTAGTATATACCCACTAAAAACTTAAGAATAAAATGTTGTCTTGGATGCATGAGATATATTTGATATATTTGCATATAAGCTGTTATGCCTCTAAGACCATTTCCGAAAAAAAAAAAAATAATAACCTTGAAACTTGCAAAACACTATATTTAGGGGCTTGTATAGGGACAAGTTGTTGAATAATTGTGTCCCATAATAATTCCATCAATTTCTACTTTCATCCCCATTCCTCAAACATGTATGTATGCCTGAGAATGTGTACAGTAGATTATGTATCTGCATATGTGTGATATTTTCCCATGACAAAAAATTACTAGGACAGTGTGTTTGTGTGTAATCATATTACAACCCGTCTCATCTTCACCCTTTAAAACTGCATATTTCAGCTAATATCTTCTTTAATTACTCTGTTTATGCTATTATGCTTCCTAGAAATCGTGTGACTTTTACATTCTTACTCAAATGACAATTTCACTAATTAGATCTCTTTAACATCTCAGTTGTTTCTCCCATAGACAAAACAGAGCACAAATTGAGACATCCATATTAATTTTATAGCTCTGTACTCTTAATGTATTATTATTTGTCCAAATAAATTTTAGAAGCAACATTTGAGACAAAGTTGATGATATGAAACACAACAGAATTCCATAAGACTCCATAAGCTATAATATCTGAGCAATAATAACAATAAGTTAATTTATTAATTAATGTATTAATATTTAACAATGCCTATATCCAGTTGTGAAGTAGGTGAATTACTCAAATTATTGACTAATGACTAATTTCACACCTGCTAGACACTTTATACCACTCAAAGACACTTAAAGGCATTTAAATCCGGAGCACTAATTCCTTTCCAATGAAGCATTTTATATTTATAAGACATTGCATTGATTTGACAAATAACACACACACACACACACACATGTATAATATGTATATGCTGCTTCTTTGTGATATATGGTGACCTGAAATGCAAGAGGCATCTATAATATATATGCAATATATATGCAAATCTGGCAAAATATGAGATTTACATCAAGCCAAAAAAAAAACAAAATAATCCCAAGCAGCCCGACAGGCTCATCCACATTATATATGTCACACACCCATGAGCAAAGAAAACAGTTTCAGTTTTAAGTTTTAATGTCTGCAGAGTTATAATATAGTTTTATCTCTACATAGTTTTCTGTCTGTGAGAACAACACATTTGTGCATATTTTCATGGAAACTGTGTTTATCATTTCTTTGTTGTTTTCGGCTTTAGGTTACAAGCCATGTGTGGAAGCCCTGCCCACTTCATCTATGTGAGTTGAACTTGTACCTTTCCCCCTCAAACCATTTCTATGATCGACCTGATGACATCTGCTGTTTCCTGTGACATGAAGAAGAACGAGAATGCTGCCGAATGAAGCCGTGAGAGAAACAGAAGGAGACGTGCAGATCTGAAAGAAGTTGAGAAGAGGAAGAGACCAAGAGTATTGAAATTGATTAATCACAGTATAATAATGGCCTTTATTGAAAAGGGTCAAAAGAAGACCTACATTTCAACATTCAGGTTTGACCTGAAGTCTTCAGCAGCATTGCAGACTCCACTGGAAGTGCCGAGGAGAACAGTGAATGGAGTCAAGCCGATGAACAGAGAGCAGAGCTGTCAGAAATCAGGCAAATCAGGTGAGAGATATTTCTACCATGAGGTGTTGCACTTTACTAATTCCCATAGATGAATCATCTTTAAACCGTTTTTAAACTTCATCATTATCATCATCTTTAAACTTTTTTGAAAGTCTCTTATGCTCGCCAAGGCTGCATTTGTTTGATCAAAAATACAGTAAAAACCGTAATATTGTGAAATATTATTAGGATTTAAAATAACTGTTTTCTATTTGAATATGTTTTAAAGGTCCCCTGAAATGCTTAGAAACAGGCAGCGTTACTCTATGTGCTGACGTCATTTTAACTGAAACAGGAAGACAGGGCGGGACCTATCAAGCAGCCCCGCCCCTTTTTAAAATAGCCAATAGCGTTCGTTTATATCACAGCTTGGGCTAGAGCCGTTGAGCTCCGTAAAGTCGCATTTGACAAGGTATGCCAGCCACAATCTCATCTATATTGCTATAAAATATAGCATTCTGTGTAGAATTCAAATAGCTCCGATACATTGTGTGGTCTGCGCCGACTCGCGCATGTGATCCGCTCCGTGCTATCGTGTCTCTGGACCGGAGCAGAGTGTGTGTGCG